TATGGGGGGCTTCCGACGCCTGTTTTTCTGAGGTCCCGTTCATGTAAAAGATGGCAATGGTCCGAGTTTCCTATCATCGGGACCCAGCCCTGATTTCTTCATACTGTACAAACTCGGATACTTCGCTTAGTTTCCGAATTAGATCTCTGAACAATGGAGGCAGAAATTCGAAACCAGCACTCACCGTGCTGTGATGGCAACAAACCAGCAGTTATCAGTTGAGAAAACACACAATCCCTTTTCCTAATGAAAAAGTACCGTCCTACTGAAGTAGAATAGGCCTCAAGCCTTTCATCATCAGGCGGAGCCGCTATGAAACGGCTCAGATGCGAAGAACTACCCAGGGTTTCTTCCTATCAGGAGGAATGTCGCAAAAAAAAAATAAAACAAACAAAATATGATGCGTGCCGAAGTTTTCAGGCTATTCGAGAGTAAACAGTTCGGTAGCCGTATATGAAGACCCTCTTTGAACGTTCCCCAGAGTCGTTAGCCAGGTAGAGAACTCAAGTCGAATTCGGTAAAAACTGACAAAGCGTCACGACAAGTACTACATTCAAGATGTTCACTGGCAACTGAAGAGTGGCTGTACCTCCGTCTGAGAATGGGAGAAGAGACTTTATGCTCAAAAGCTTAGTAAAAGGAATGTTGTCGTAAAGGGATGTTGATGGAGCACAATGATGAGCGAAGGGCGATTACGCTTGTCTCAAGAGATGAGCGAACTCGATCGGAGGGGACACAACAACAAACACGTCAAGGCAAAGCTTTTTCAATTCTGAAGACGACGTTGAAGAAGATGTCTCCAGGAAAAAGAAAACAAGACGTAATCGAATCGAATTATGGATGGATGGCTAAACCGCTACCCATTTGGGAGATATCACATCAGAAAGGGGCCTCAGGGAGAACACATTGTGACGATGCCAATAAAGTAATTCAGTGCACTTTTCTGCGACTCCAAAAATAGCTATAGATGGAAAGGGATTGGATGGTACGTTCTTCCGAATTCTAACCGAACTCGAATGCTTTTTTTTGATGGAATATGAAAACGAGATAGGAGGTGTTTTTTCGGAATATCTGCGAGCGCATTTGTATGTGCTGGGTTTTTCCCCCAATTTGGGCATCTTACTTGAAAAGGAGCTACAGCCAGCGGAAAATACTTCAAACTCCTCGTTATCTTATAGTGAGGAGATTAGGGGACTAGCCGAAACCTTTCTTTTCTTCTGGTTTCTATTCCAATGATCATTACCTAGCTTATGCTTACAGTGATGTAATGATTAGCTCCCCAAAGTAATACATATAAAATTACATAAAAAACGACAAAATATGACAAAATCCGAATTCACATCAAGCAGCACCCCATGCACTCAAGAAGGAATGAGAGGCCCAATGGAGGGCCTGTGATGCTTTCGAAAATTCCATAGTTAATGGTAGGAGATAGTTGATTATTCATGATGTTCTTACAATTGATGGGTTTCTTTGAGATATTCCATCTTTTCTACTCATTTCATCCCAATAACAGCTTGGGATATGTAGCTTGGGAGAACTCGCCCTATTCAGACATTCCATTCAATCTTAGAAACTTTTTTGTTGCTTTGTCAGAATGTGCTGGTAATGAATAAAAATAAATAAACAAGTAATTAAATAAACAGTTGAGATCCGTTCAACTTCCTTGTTCAAGTAGCTGGTTAGAGACTTCTCGTACAAAAATGGGTGCTATTCTCCATCCACACGAATATTTGGGATTATTTTAAAAAAAACGACTCTTTTAGGCAAGTACCTATATCCTGCCTACTGGATATCTGCAATGGTTCAGATATAACTCAATTGCAATCACGGGAGTAACATAAGAAGTACAGTACAGTACGGTACAATAATATTTTTTTGGTCGGTGCTACGTTCCAATTAACTAGATGTTTGCATGATCATCTCCTGCTTATAGAAGTACTCAAAAAGAAAAACCCAAAAGCTTAACTGACCTTATAGACTCCGCCCACTCGCGAATTCACGCCCCTCAGAAATTGCAGCGATCTGTATAAATCAATAACAAACCTGGAAATGAGAGTGTCTGATGGAATTTCGGATTCAGATTTCGACGATGAACTTTGGTGCGTTCCATTTTTCCTGGTTCTTCCATAAAGAATACACGAACATATGGATCCGAACTTCCTAAAATTTGGTGGTTGAAGAAAGTTACGCCATGTCACTGGATTACTTTTAGAATGAGTTAAAACTAAGTTGAATGAAACCTATAACAAGTAAACTTGGTAAGTGATGCAGTCTTAAAAGGTAGCCTTCTTTTTCGGGTTGAGCCACGCATTCAACTTCATTACGTATTCATATGATATTATAAGCTATATAACGGATTAAGGTTTCATTCAAGGGCCAATCAGTGATCAACTCGAAAGGTTCATCCTTCTGGCGACTTAGGCGCCATAAACCTGCTTCTTATTGTGCATAGAGGACACGTTTCCATGATATCGTTGCAGCTACACATATCGCCTTTACCTTCAGTGACGCTGAGGATTACATCGCCATGACATACGCCACAGCTGCGGATTATCCCATTTTACTTACAGCAAAGCTTATGAATTCTATTATGGGGATTTCGTTTTGGTCAACAAAATACGTCAACTCTTGAATCCGTCATTAATCACTTGATTTCAGCTCTTGATAAACGAGGTCACAGAGCATTTTGATGATTTAGGCTGATCTGATAAGTATCGTAAAAGATTTGAGCCAACAAGCCTATTAGCTGATGCTACGTGACATTCTACTAATTCCCAGATAGACAACCAATCCTACTGTTGACAATTGAGAGTCACTTCAAAGCAGTTTTCACGATAGGCTGACTCATGTGCTATACACTGCGATCAGGGTGAAATACTATGGGGATTCTTATTTATACAACAAATCAACTAGTGGTCCCTCGATAGTAGTTGAAAGAAAAATGCCAAAAAAAAACTGGTTAACCTCATTTTTCATCCCAAGGGTGTGGCTGATATGTATAGTGAGATGTGGCGCACTATCACACGAGCACGATCCGGAAACCGAGTCAAGGATCGATATTCACCCAGGAAAAACGAACCTTCCATTCTTTCCGGGTAAATTGGTTGGTACCAGACTCGTCTGGCAGAATAAAAGCACTGACTTGTACACTGACTGGCAACAGCAAGTCACTGTCTAGGAAACATACTCATTCAATACGCCACTATGGTTCTGAATGGAAATTGAGTGCAGGGCGCTTCCCAACAAGGGACCGATTTTTACCGTATCATCATCTGGTAGCCTTTAATATACCGTAGCATTCTCTCAATAGGCTAGTAGGGAATATGGACCGAGGTGAGCTCATGGAATTTTTGCTTTCAATTCTGATCCCTCGGCCTGACCGTCTTTGCGATGAACGGAGTCATGACATTATGGCAAGGGCCCGGATGACCGAAAATGGCTGGAAATCGGGGCTGAGATAAGCTCCTATCTCCTCTCTCCTAAGCTCAATTTGATTACTCTAAATCGATGTCACAGGCGGTGTTCGTCTAACTAGTAACGGGTGATTACCCATGGTTATTGTGTAAACAATCGCTGTTTTTGCTTGCTGTACTTTCAAGTAAAGGTACCTGTGATATCTTTGACAGGCAGATCGACCGCTTCAAGTAGATGGACATGAAGGGTACTGATTTCTTTTTCAAACGCCACCGAAAAATTAAGCTTTCCTCGGAATTCCGATACACATTCCGGTTTCAGAGTGTCGATCACTTGTTGAGACTGAAAAATTAAAATAAATGGATTGGTAGTAAACAATAAACAGAAATTTTCTATTGAAATATTCGAGCGAGTTCGTCTGTGATGATGAGTTTTCATCAGGTTGTTATTGGGACGAATTACGAAGCAGTAACTTGTTGCAGCTGTCAACAGCACTTTTATTTATCCCAACAGGGGTACGGTAGCCAGTGATGTGCCATAAATCGATAATTAGTCTGATTAAAATTTTATGTGTTATGATGCAGTGGTGTTGCACTTCTCACCGATGGACTCCAAGGCGGACATAATAATTGCTTTGTTCACTTAATTGTTTATTTACTTAATCAATTAAATTTCCTTAACTTTGAAATAGTGCCCTTGCAGTAGAGGTCTTTCGGTTTACTCAGAACCGGAGACGGGCACGTCTACTGAACGCCTATTTCATTATGAAAATGGTTTCCGAGATTTCCTTCTTAAATGGACCTAAGTTTCCCAAGTATAGGCTATTCGACGCTGTCAGGTTGAAAAAAGGCCTATAGGATGCACTCCAAAATCAGCTTACCGGATGGATCAACCCATTCTGGGTTTTCCAAAATCAAAGTATTTACCAGTTCAAATGTACAGTTTGAAAAACCCACCGCACTCTTCCATGGCGTCAGCTTGGCCTTCAGCGAAGGAGGTTGCACTGGTCGAGGACATGTGTCCAGAATAAGTTGCTGAGACAACATATGAGGACTGGAAGTTTACTAATTTTAGAAAGTAAGCACATTTTNAAGAGTAGTTCCAATTGAGACATTACAAAGATTTAAATTATGAAGTTTTCCGGAATTAATCATTCCCAATAGTGCTTATTCAGGATACACCCTAACATTTGTTCTCTGACCAAGGTCGTAAAAGCATTGGTATGAGTGTGGAGTGTGCACATAATTCAACCATATGGCAGAAGACCAGATAGAGCACCCTACATTCGCCGAGTTAGTAGATACCTTAACCAAACTAAAATTTCAGTGACAATTGGCTTTTAGTAGAGGAAAATATGAATAGCTTTCTCAGAAAAATGTGAGAAATGAGCCATGTGTCATGTGTTGATTTTAAAGTGCTGATTCATTGAGGACCGGAGTTTTGACTCATTCGTGGGAGGAAACAACCAAGTGTTACCCATTCCATGGTCAAAATTGAACACTGACTCACTGGCAAGGAGTTGCGGTCTCTGCATTGGTCAAAATGCTGTGTGGGAATATTTATTTTTCTTGTTTCTCATTCCTCGCTCTGGCTTTACACAAAAGCCTAACCAAGGTTATTGACAATGAATCAATGAGCCATTGAGTTCATTCCTGAAGGTAAACCGAAATTGCCTACGAATTATTTTCTAAAAAATCTTTGGGCGTTAACCAATCGCGGCAGAGAGGTTCGCCCACGCATTCGACTTCAATTAAGAACCGTAGTGGCGTATTGAATGCGTAGGTGGCCTATACTATGACTTCCGGTGGCCAGCCGATGTACAATTCATCCTCCCAGACGAGACTGGTACCAATTAGCCAACCTCACGCTTGGTTGGCGAGGCGGGTATAGATCCGGGATTCGAACCCGTGGCCATACGTGTGAGATAGTGCGCCACTTGCCACTATACCGCCTCGCCATTGTCTTAGATGTCAAAATTCAAAAACGTAAAACTGTGGAAGGAAAAAAACCTCTAATTCTTCCAAAGTAGCTTTATGGTTGTCATGATTCATGAAAACTGAAAATTAGAAAAGCGCTTAAGCAAAATCGAGGATGGATATGAATTAGGTTCGGGTTTGTTAAATGCTTTTACATACAGAAACACCAAATCGCATTAGTTCTAGCAGGCTCAAACCCATTTCATTGCACTGTAACGAAAAACTGACTCCACTGAGGTAAGGCGAATGAAGTTTCACTGGGGTAATGGACATGCACGATGCTCGAAAAGCATAGGTGAGAATTTAGATATCTTCTAAAGCTGAATCTTCTGTGCACTTTCTGTCTAAGAGCCCTTCATTACATAGAAAAGTTTTTTCAGTCAGGCCAAGCAGATAAATCTTCCATTTCTACAAGAGATCCAGGGATGAGTTATGTCTTGTGTTTTATAAACTCTTCCACCAGATCCATCTGAATTTACGAAGGGTCTGAAGCTTTTTGAGAGCTACCTAACCCCTTTTCCCCTCTTGACGGTAACACCGAAGATTCTGCCGAGAAACGGGAGAACGTTACGTGGCTCTCATTCCCTGCCTTTTTGCCCCAGCGCTCCTATTTGTATGCCGAGGGTTCAAAATAGGACCATACTGAACACCACTACGCAAGTACTCGCTCACCTGAACAGCTTCGCTTGCTGCTCGCATTCCAGCTGATCAAGGTCCACTGGTTTACGAGTTCTGGAAGTGGGGATTTCATATTTGCTGACCAAAAATCAGTAAATAAATAAATAAATGTATAAAAAGTGATAGCCGACTTACTTGTAAAAGACAGCAGCAACAAGTGTGACCGCAGAAAGCATAGCAGCCAAAACGATATATACTGCATAGATGGGCACGGTGACATGGGTAGTGAGGCCCATAGTGGCTTTATATTACCTGATTGAGGAAATTCTTCTGCAAGAGAGTCATACCTAACTGGTTACCCGAAAAAGCAAAAGCGGAAACGACGACAGAACATCGCAGGCAAACGAAGCTGATATAACTGTGATGAGGAGAGGCGATCAAGTGATTAAAGTGAGACGATTAGGAAAAGCCAACAGGTGTTAGCCGGCCTAAAGCCGGCAATTTCAATTAAACAGACGATTTTAGCATTTAAGCCATGGAACGAACAGGATAGTGATGGAGATGCTGAGAAATCAGAGAAGATATGAGTAACTCAATAAAGGGCATATTCATGACGTTTTTAAGTGGAACATAACACCACGCGTGTCAATGGACATCTTCTTTCTCACGTCTTCTCGGCTCCTGTCATTATGCCTTAGGATGAGATTGACGAAAGCCTCGGAATAAGAAATGTATTCAGCTCCATCTACAGTTGTGTTGAGCTTTGATCAGCTCAGGTCATCTGGCTCAAGTGGACCAAGCAACCCTTTCTTCGATATTTTTTCTATCTTTTTTCGATATTTTTTCTATTCTCCCATTCTCATACCTAGAAAAAAACATCCTCATGCGCTTGATGGCCTGCTGATTTCAGGTTTCTAGTTTCAGCAAGACTGATTGGGCTATTTGATCCATTGGGCGAATGGCTTGGCACCATCTGGGCCTTCCTACCTGTAGTACCGATAATTTCGGTGATAAAGAGGCAAACAATACAAAACGGAATGTCTACAATTTCACAAGCAAGAAGACGATAAAAGCATGATACGTGCTTATACTTTGGTTCCAATACGGGAGCCTTAATATGGGTCGAGCAGCAGGTAGCACAATGGCTCAAGAGCCACATGGCTCCTGTGCTAGGGTGCATTGAATTTTTCTCAATTCACTTCATATGGTCATGGTTCAGAATTGGTTTGGAAAAAGAAGACATCACTATAAATCTAAGTCAAACGTCAAACTGTTTGTTCAAGTATGTACAGTTCACGGTATGAATAAGCTTTCAAGTTCCTGCTCGACTGAGAATGGAAGTCGGAAGCATGGCGTGTTCTATGGGATAAAGTGGACGGCCGGCAATTCCCTGATTTTCATTGATGTTCACTCACCCAACTCTAATCACCTCTTCACACTGTCTCAAGTTATACGGAGCAGGAGTTGGTGGACGGGCTTTTTTTCAATCTCCCATTTGACTGTTCAGAACTTTATGTAAATGACGAAAACTTAAGTCCTCAGGCATTAATCGATACCGTCTGAGGAATACGCCCTGCACTCGACTTCTATTCAGAAACGTAGTGACGTATTGAATGCTTATGTGGCCTACACAATGACTTACGGTGGCCAGCCCATGTACAAGCCAAGGTTTTCTTCCTTGCAGACGAGTTTTATACCAGTTACCCGATCCCGAAGGTTTGGTGGAAGGTTTGGTTGGCCTAGGCAGAAATCGGTCCGGGATTCGAACCCGTGACCATGTGTGTAATAGTGCGCCACTTGCCACTACACTACTTCGCCCATCTGCACTTTTTACAGTTTACAAAATCATTGGAGAAAACAGGCACTGCTGTCTGGGTATAGTTAGTGGACCTAAAAAGGCCACAATCTTCAGATAAACTGGGACTGTCGTTCAAAAAAAAANAAAAAAAAATCCAGAAAAGAGAGGGGTCTGAAACGAAGAAAAAGAAAGAAAATAAAGAAAGAATTAAAAGAAAAAAAAACTAGAACATGAAAATGTAATGTTTCAAGATATGTATCGCTGACGAAGTCTGACAGCTACATATCGAAATGCGTAAATTCTTTTAATTTCTAGAGTACACTTTTTAGTTTTTTATTCAAACCTTTCCACTGACGTAGATATTTTCAGTTATGGGAAGGGAGAGTAATAAAATACTGAAGGTGCAGATGGAGGGACATTTACAAGCCGCTGATGAATGCTGTCAACGACGTGGGCCATCAGCAACGACAGACTGCGATGTACATATGTTCGTTTATTCATGGAAACGTTACCGCTGCTGGGCAACCACTTCTTGAGGATTCCTTGTTTTCTATGGTTTTCCATGCCCTACACGTTGGCATTTTGGCGCATCTGGCTAACCCATAAAACTAACCGAAAATTTGAAAGGGGCTTGAAAAAATTTTATGAACAGAAGTCTATCGGATTTCCGTTCTTAGCAGCCTTTGTCTGAAAGAAATTTGAACATTCACTTTGAATTAAGTCAGGTAGAAAAGGTAGTTGGCTTGAGACCCGAAGTGAACAGGCAAGTTGGCATTTCGAGGATTCTATGATACAGTAATCACGGCACTGGAATATATCAGACATTAAAAGACAAAGAAAGATCAGCCACTAATGTGACCCAATGGAAGAAGGTCTGTAGAAGCCCATGAAAGGGTAGATATCGAGAATTTGAAAGTTACCACCCCATAAACAGACGTTCGTTCCAGAACCCATAGCCTGGCTTACTGTGTCACGAGACCCGAAGATCTCAAATATTGACAAATACGAATGATTGACAACATTTTTGACGAAACGGATTTAATCGCCCCCTGAATGTGTGACAAAGTAACCCAAACACAAGCTGAAGCGCCTTCAAAAACACCCGTCACATATACGAAAGGAAAGGTACCCCGGGTGAAGCCCGCGGGGGTGGGTGGTGAGGTACCAGAGGGTTACGGCGACACACATTCACGGGACTCTAAAATCCCTCCAGACCTTTTCGTGCTTATTTGCTTGACATTCTGGATGATTTCTTTCATATGAGGCGTTTTACAACACTTGACACTCCCAGTATGTTACGGTTTCTCCAACCTGAGTAGGAGAACGAAATCTCACTTTAGATCTCTTAAAACTCTCACCAGTAAAAACTTATTTCTATTATTAATGGGATATTATTATTATATAATATTACATTATTAATAGAAATAAGTTGTTACTACTAACTATTCCTCCTTGCTCCTCCATAGAAACTGGCTCACGCGTAGTCCTCAAGATCTTTTTGACCAAACTCTCGGGTCTCTTACAGTTACCGGTAAACCTAGTAAACAAGAATTTGGAGCCTAGATAAATAAAAAAGCAATTGAATAAACAAATTAGGCAATGATAGGTGTATGCTGTCAAAGGAGAGAGTAAGGGGGAGACCTTATAGAGATAGACTGCTGATAAACCAATAGGTCTTGTTACAATAGATCAGCAGCAAAAGAGAAACCCAGATTGACAAGTAATACACAAACATGTCCAAGGAACAACGTACAAAATACTTAAGTATGACATCTTTGGCTTTAAACAATTCCTGAAGTATGCGCCTCGCATTCCACTTCTAATCAAAACCATAGTGGCGGATTGCATGCGTATGTAGCCTCTACAATGACTTGCAGAGGCCAGCTGATGTTTAGCCGACCCAGGAAGCAAGGAAAGCTTGGTTAGCCTGAACAAGATCGATCCTGGATTCGATCCCTGGACACGCCATTGCCCAATTGCCGATACACCACTGGATGCAAACTTCTTTTCCAAGCTATTGAATAATAAAAATCTATAGGCTTAGAAAGTAACGAAGCCCTGCATTACTTCTGAAAAAGAGAAAAAGTGACACTGATTTTTGGAAGCCTAAAATCTCAGACAAGCCAATTCCTCACGTCATCTGATCGCCTACACTACGAAAACGTTTTAGAAAAGGTCGGCCATTGAATTACCAGTAATAGCCTGCAATTTCGTATGGACAAATCCAATACCAGTTGTGTTGGTGGTGTGGAACCAGATGAGAATATAATTCCCATAAACAAAAGCTCATTTAAGCCTTGGAAAATAAGCTTTTATCTTTTTAATCAACAAAAACTTAATAGCTTTCAAGGTCCATGCATCTTATTAACATAATATTTGCATTGAGTCGACATTGGAGTTAAAAGAGCCAGAAGGAATGGATGAGATTAAATAAAGAAAGCCGAAATTCACCAGGACGGGAGTCGAGTAGCAAGCGGAGCAAAACGAACCGACTGGCCACCATGCAACACTGGCAAAGGGCCTAGGGGACCAACCGTCTGCACAACGACCCCTTTTTCTAGTACCCTTCTTGTGAGCTGTGCCTTGAACATGATGGGAACATATTAATCTATCCATAGTGATATAGTATGAGTACAGTATGTTTATGCGGGTACCTAATTACTGCCTATTTGGTTAATTAGACAGATAACCAAGTAGTCATTTGGATGTACTTCTCAGTAGAGAATTCAATGGATAAAGGTAAAGAAGAAATAGGCAGCTTTGTGGGTGAAAAAAGTTCCACTTGGAAGGTAAATTGGAAGGTATGTGGGTAGATCAGGCACTTATACAGAATAGATAGGTAGATAAATGGGTAGCTAGTAATTCGTAAGTATAGGTAGGCAGGTTGAACTGAAGTCAAACAAGCTGAAATACATGGATGACAGCATTGGTATTGGTTGAGTGGGTAAATAGACTGCCCGATAAAATGGTTACAAGCTTACTTAGGCAGTTAGTGAGGTGCATAGTAGAAAGGATTGTCCGGCTGGGAGCCGAATAGGTAGCCTATCGGTTATACAAGTAATCAAATCGAAGTTATATAGACGTTCATGTGAATAGCCACTTAAAAACAGACAGATAGAGGATAGTAAGATAGGTTTTTAAAAGCATCGTTACTCGGACTGTCAAGAATTAGGAGGATGTGGATAAATTATTAGCGATATGACTCAATAAATGCACGGGCACATGCCCAGTCAGGGTATTTCATCCCCAAATCGATACTACCCAAGCTAATCAAGCCTTCCATCCCTTCGAGGTCGATTAATTGATACCGGACTCGTCTGGGAGGATAAAAGCTCTGAAATGGACATCGGTTGGTTACCGCAAGTGATTGTATAGGCCAGATTTACGTGCAGATGCCGGTACGATCCTGAGAGGAGTTCGAGCGCTCGGCTTATACCAGAAAGGGTCAAATAACGCGGGAGAAACGTTGTTTTCCTGAAGTTTATAGGTACTGAGGTC